TGTTCAAGGTGGGTAAGTGTTTGATCACGTCCTCATCGTGTGCCAAGCACACCATGACGTCCGGGTGGGAGTCAAATGCAGCCAAGCTATTCACCGAACGTTGTGCCAGCTTAGGGTCCACATGAGCCGAGCATGCATCATTTGATACAAGATAGAATGGTGTGCGACTGCCGTCCCCAAGTTCTGCCATAGCTCGTCTAGGGTGGTGATCAGTAAACAATGAACAGAGAGGCATCGGATCTGGCAACGGCATATGGATATTCGGACGGAAGATGCCGGCAAAGTGGCAAATGTCCCCACCGAGAAAGACGAAGCTGGAGTTGGGACTAGGGGTTGTACGAGCAAGCCCACACATGTGGCCGATACAGTGCCCTGGTGTGTCTGAAAGGTATACATTTAGCTGCTGGACATGCAACCAATAACATCTGTGCTATAGAGGGAAAGATAATCTTCTGTCTAGCAGTAGGAGATACTAACCAAGAAGGTAAAAGGAGCCATCACCAAAAAAGTCGTACGCAGGAAACCCGCCGATAGAAAGACCAGTACCAGAACAGTCGATTTCCTTCAGTGGACGCTGATCGAAGATTTTGGCCTCTACCGGGGAATTGGGTGCCAGAGGAAAACCAGGGAGTATATTCGAGCGAGATTTGAAGCCGGGCCCAACTACCAGTTTTGTGCTATGGGGGAATATTGCGGTGTTTCCGATATGGTCCCAGTGGTAGTGGGACCAAATAATGGTCGCTACAATTCAAGCTTATAAGTCTGGCCAGTCATTCCACGCCGTGGTATTTCTGCACTCCGTGAACACGTCGAGGAACTTACATATGTCATTCAGCGCAATTCCACTGTCCTGAAGAATGTCTGTAACATCTTTATCGACGCGTAAAGATGGGATCACCTCCGACAAGCGGCTTTGAAGCACCGCGGGGAGGTTCCAGTAGTCCTTACGTATGCCTAGATCAAACATAACCTGTTCTCCTGATGGCACATGCTCTATAAGGAATGCTGCAACATATATATTCAGGGTTTCATGTCCAGGTTGTACAGGCTCGAATACTGACTTGGCATTAACCACCATGACGCCGGTAGTATCAACCAGTCTCACTCGCACTGTGCTTGTAGAGGACGGGAATTGTATCGTCTGGGAGGCCTCAATGGTGTTCATGGTGGAAACTAGGAATGGACCCAATGGTCGTAGTGGAATTGGTGTTGTGAATGGAATTAATTAGTTTGTTCCTGGTGAGGATGTTATGGAAGGCTTGTACAAGGCCAAGGTATGATGGTAGGAACTGTAACCACAGAGAGAGAGAGTACAGTTACTAAAACGTGAACTTTCAGAGATATGCTTTCCACGCCACGTTAACGGTCCGAGGGTCTATGCCGAGGCCAGATGGTCCGCGAAGCAGCCTTTGGTGCTCGTAGGCTCACATAGCCATTCATGACAAGGGAATAGAACAAATAGAAAGTTTGAAGACCCATGCCGTTGTATAGTTAGGGAATGGATGTCACCATCCAGGTTCCTGATCTAATGTCGGCTAAGCTGGACCATGCTGAGCTCTAGAGTCCCACGGCCACCGGCTGTACTGGTAACAAGCTAACCAGGGACAGAAGCCTAGCTTTAGCCGGGCTGCTGATGAATATGCATAGTAAGAATCACCGGGGAAACTGTGAGAATTTCTCAACTGGGAGACGGGGTCGGCTTACTCGATTGGGTCGGTAATACCCAAAGCGACAACCGGCTCGCCCCATCCTGGCTCCGTAGTGTAGAAGGAATGCTTCAAATATAACTAATGTGGTATGATAGATAATGTCGAGGGGTAGGAACAAGAGTAGAGACTCGCCCTAGCAAGAAGAATATTTTATTTACCAAACACAATTTTCCATATGGCGACACGTCCAGCTTCAGCCGCTCCGGTGAATCCCGTATTTACAAAGTATGGCCTTCCCGGGAATATCACGATTGGAAGCAACTCGCCAGGCATTCACCCAGCTTCAGAGAAGCGCCCTGTGCACTATCCAGAATGGGACAGACCATCGAGCACTGGTTATGTGGTCTCAAACCACTTGATCAATGAGCCACCTCCGGGGCAGCCGTCATTTCGAATCATCGTGATCGGCGCTGGGGCTGCGGGCATCGACTTTCTCCACCATGCCCCACGGGACCTCGCTGGACTTAATATCGAGTTCGCTGTGTATGACAAAAATCCAGAAATCGGCGGCACCTGGTTTGAGAATCGGTACCCAGGATGTGCATGCGACAATCCCAGCGTTGGGTATACCTTTCCCTGGAAAGCCAAGCCAGACTGGACGAGCTTCTACTCGTCTTCAACTGAAATCTGGCAGTATTTCAAGGATATTGTTGAGGAAGAGAATATGATGCAGTATATAACCCTGAATACAGCTGTCTCTGGGGCCAGATGGGATAACAGCAGGGCGAAATGGATCGTGAAGCTTTCCCAGCGCCAGGAGGACGGTCAGACAAAAGAGTGGCAGGAGGAATGTGACGTTATCCTCAATGGCAGCGGATTTCTCAAGTATGTTTGCCTGTCTCTTGTCAGTGGCAGTGAACAGGCCATGGCTAACTATTGTTCACAGTGCTTGGAAATGGCCAGACATTCCGGGGCTGCATAAGTTCAAGGGCCCTATTTTTCACACTGCACACTATAAGGAAGGATTCGACCTGAAGGATAAGAGAGTTGCTGTAATTGGTTCCGGTAGCTCAGGTGTTCAGGTGTCAGCTTCCATATACCCTGAGGTGCAGCATCTCTACACCTGGGTACGAAGCCCAACCTGGATCACCGCCGCTTTTGGCCAGCAGTTTGCGGGAAAGAATGGCCAAAACTTCGAGTGTAAGCCCTGCCATACCATCCATAACAGTCAGAGAGCTCACCATCCATAGATACGGAAGAACAGAAACAGGCGTTCGCAAAAGATCCCGCCAGCTATCAGCGATACAAGAAGACGATTGAAAACGAGCTGAATAAAAGATTCAAACTAGTTTTGCGCAACACAAAAGAGTCCGATGAAGCAAACGCTGTGAGTGGAACCCATCGACCGCCATGAATCTATTTCTGACATGAACCCTACACACAGTACGCGTTTCAAGAAATGTCTATGAAGCTCGCAGCAAAGCCATACTTGAAAGACTTCATTATTCCCCAGAATTTCAATGTGGCATGTCGCCGGCCTACACCTGGTAATGGCTACCTTGAGGCGCTTGCTGGAGAGAAGACGACCGTTTTCACGTCCTCAATCCAAGCTATCACAGAAAATGGGGTTGTCGACTCTGCCACTGGCGAACACCCGGTAGATGTCATCATATGTGCCACTGGCTTTGATACATCATTCAGGCCCCAGTTTCCCATTACTGGGATAGACCCAGAGGTAACTTTAGCCGAGAAATGGGCCGAGTTTCCTGCCAGCTACTTGGGGATTGGTGTCGATGGCTTCCCGAATTACTTCACATACTCTGGGCCGTTCACACCGGTTGCTCAAGGCTCCTTGTTGCCTATAATAACACTCCTGACAAACCACTTCATCGAGATTATCAAGAAGATGCGAAGGCAACATATCCGCCAACTGAGTCCGAAAGCTAGTGCTGTTGCTGACTTTGCGGAGCATGCTCGTACCTTTTTGCCGCGCACTTGCTGGGCAGACCCATGCAGCTCTTGGTTCAAACAGGGCACCAAAAATGGCCCTATTGTCATGTGGCCGGGCTCTAGGCTTTCCTTCTTTGAAGTACTTCATCACCCCAACTACGAGGACTATGATATCGAGTACTATGGCAAGAATCGGTGGTCTTTCCTGGGCTCCGGCTTTGTAGACTTTGAATTCTCAGGGTCTAAGGACCTAACGTGGTACCTGGACGAGTTCTCAGGACGGGAAGACTGGGTGAAAGGAGTTCCATTGAGTCAGGATTCTGACGAGTTTGCCGGTGTTAACGCTGGTGCAGTTCCCCGCACTAACGCGCGCCTTTAGTGACGCCTCGGGGAGGTGATCTGGAATGAAATAGACAATGACTGACATGTTATGACGCCGGGTGTTCCCACGTTCTAAGGTCTTCTTTCGCAAATATGAGAGCTTTCGTATCGGATCCTTGCTGAAGAGATATGTATCTAGTATGCAGGTACCAGTAGGCTGTAGTGGTATCATTCCCTGGCACACCTCGCCATCCTTTGGGAAAAGTTACGATATAGTAATGTACATATCTTCAATACTAATCCATTTCTCATAGGTGGCCAGTATTCCCTATCGTCACCTGTTCCCACTAGAGCGTACTTTTTGGTTAATCTATGGTCTATGACAGTTGATGTAGACTCATTTGATCATTTATCCCATGCATTGGTAATCGTGGCTACACTCAGTCACCATATGACGGGGGCGCTATCCTTGAGGCACCGCTGGTCGCTTCTATGGATAGCGAACGACCACTAGCTAGCGAGTGTTAAGGTCTTAGTTAGATCTACGTGTATATATATCGAGGAAGTCACGCAATTCTCTACCCCCCTAAGCTACAGCTATTTGCAATTACACAGATATGCAACATGTCCACTATCATCCTCGACTATAATTTTCAAGGAGTATCTTTATACCTTGTAAAACCTATTACTACTTTGTGGTCTAACCTTAAAAGTAGGAGAAAGACAATGACATTAAAAGGAATTTATTAACATTCAGTTATACGTTAGTGCGGGAGAGTTCACTTAGGGGCACACGCCTCGAAAGCGATAGGCTCCGGACCAAATAACATGCGCGGCCTAGCATTTCGAGATGGCCTTTCTCATACCATACCGTGCATATTGGCCTCCTTTCTATCGCACACGGGAAAGTAAACAATGTTCTTCAAAAACGCCCGGTTTGGCTGTCCACTACAAAGCAAACGGGTAGAGAAGGATCTGGGCTTTCCGGGTACAGTAAAGAGATAATGAATTGCAATATCAAACACAAGATCATAACATAAAGCACTTGAACATCGGGTGGATGATCGGCCCACTAAGCCGCTATTTATGAGGAAGCACTGCATGATGCTCCCCCAGGTACCATGCCACGTCGCTGCCATCATACTCTTTCGTCGAAAACCCATTACCCAGAAAGGCAAACTTGTTCGTATTCCAATATTCAATGGCATAATCCTCAAACCTCGGGCTCGATAGGAGGTCCGCCAGCACCATCCTTGAACCTGGAAAGATAGTAAGCTGGCCATCCATCTTTCCGTTTTTAAACCAGGAAGCGCAGGGCCCAGCCCACGCGGTCCGCTTGAGCCAGAGGTCGGCATGCTCAATAAAATCGTTTGTGGCCTGCTGCTGCGGGGATATCGATTTAATATTCTCTCGTTGCATCTTCTTAAGGACCTGGAGTATATTGTCTAGGAACAATTCGGCCATGGTAGTGAACGAGCCATGGCCAAAGGAAAAATAAGGACCGCCCACCGTGAAGTAGTTCGGTACTGAGAGAAGTAACAATCGTACTTGTCAGTGGACCATTTCAACGCATCTGTTCTGATGGGCTTGTCACTTACTCCCGGGGATGGCCATGGACAGATAAGATATCGGCCTTTTCCGTTGGATATCCTGGACGTTCTGACCGTTTGCAAAAATTGGAAATCTGGGGATCCAAGATGTATCAAACCTGGTGTGAATCGTCCTGTCAGCCACGTTCTACCCAAAGAAGGCTTGGGGATAAGTTACCCGGTAGCGCAAATTATCACGTCCACCTCCTGCTCATTGCCCTGATCATCGATGAAACCTTTTGGTGTGATCTCCCTGAGTGTCTCGAAATTCGTTGTCACTTTATCCAGGGTGAGGGCTTCCAAAAATCCGTTCCCCGGCTAGTGTGTCGTGAGTGGAAAGGACGCTGAATCAATTTTGCGGCTTCACTCACCGTCGGTCGTCGGCACCCGACGTCAAACGTTTTCGGAATGATCTGTTCCATGATATCTGTGCGATGAGCCAGTTTCCTCTTCATTTCCTTGGTGGAAAACTGGAAGTTGTCAGCAAAATCGATTCTACAATCAGCGCGTCCCAATGCTCCCGAAACATACTGCCTTGGCTTCTTCAGCCTCTGGTGACCCAACCTGGACTGACTTGAAGACGTGATGGATTTCAGTCTCCAGTTTCTTGCAGTAGTCCAGATACTCGTCTGAGTGAGTGGAGAAGTGCCTTTTCTGCTCTTCCGAGTCTGACGTTGTCACGAGTCAGAGGATATCCAGGAGGCCAGCGTTGGACAACATACATTTGAAATTAGCCCCGTTCTCGCCCGCATACTTTTGGGCAAATCCAGAGGTCATCCAGGTTGGAGACCTGACCCAGCAATATAAATGTGCGACATCGTTGACAATCTTGGGAATCACCTGAACGCCGCTACTGCCGATTCCAATGACTGCAACCCTCTTGCCTTGCAAATCGGTGTCCTCATCGTAGTTGGCGGTGTGGCAGAGCTTGCCCTGGAACGTATGAAGTCCCTTTACGTCAGGCCATCTCCAGGCACTAGACTCATGTTGTGTTAGCGTTGATTCTGCACTGTTCGGGCTGACTGCTTACTTGAGGACGCCACCACAGTTGATAAACACATCGCATATGTCGACAAACGTCGTCCCGCTGGATAGGTCCTTCACATATATCTCCCAGTGTCCACGCTCCGCGTCCCATGAAGCCTGTTGAATCTCGTGGTTGAGATGGAAGTACTCCGAGAGGTTGAACCCCTCCACTACGTCTTTTAAGTATTGTAGGATCTCGGGGGCCTCCGAATAGAATTGCGACCAGTGCGGATTTTTGGCCCAAGAGAACTAAAGGACAGGATATCAGTTCGTATCTGACAGAATGCAGGGTTCAGTGCCATGTATTACCTGATAGATGTGCGATGGTATATCACAGGCACAGCCAGGGTAGCTTCGTCGATACGGTCAGTATCATCGCCATAAATGCTCCTTTCTACCGAGGAATCCTGGGGCAGCTCACCGATTCTCATACCACGTTCCACCAATTTCAGGGTTCTTATCATAGATCACTAAAGACGCGTTACGGAGTTGCTGTGGTAGATAATGTGCCAAGCAGATTCCCGAGATGCCAGCCCCCAGAGCCACGACCCTCAATGGCTTCTCGGTGCCGCAGAGCTGCTCCTTGATCTTATAGCCGCGACTGTTCTCCGTCTGCCATCCACGCTTCTCTGGGAGTGATTCGAATGCGGGGAGCGGCGGAGGGGAGACGGCTGTCTCTGAGATCGAACCCATTGTGCTTTTCTCTGTTTTGCTTTCTTTTCGTGCGCCCAAAAATACCGTTTCTACAAAGCAGATTTACCACATTTAATGCAATATCCAGTCCTTAAGTAGGCCGATATTCAGTTGCTCCTATTATGGTATCAGGAACTCGCATCATGACTGCATAATGTGAGTGTATGTGCATCACGGTTGCTGGATCATGCCTAATTCGGTCGGCTATCGGCGTGATTCCAGACGATACCGCAGTTACCGATCGAGACAGGTAATAGATGCCCATTGCCGACGTGGTGCATGAGTCGGCTATGGGACTTACGATTCCCTGCTACCATGGGCGTCTTGGTGGTCACTACCGACGCGATGCATCGGGGTGGCACTAGCTGCTTCAGTCTCCTTTACCAGGTCAAATCCTTATCATGGCCGGCCTTTCACGGACGGTATAAGTAAAATTGCGTTCGTTGGATGTAACAGACATATCGTATTAGATTTGTACACAAGACTACAGGGGATACCATCGGTCGGTAGCAAAGGGGGCCATAACTGATTCATACTAAACAACGAGCGACGAATCTCTTGCTTGAACTTTCTGATTGTAGCAGTACTTCAATGGTCGCCTGGATTGTAACGTGCAGGCTACATTTCCCGATCAGAGCTTCAGAATACAACCGGGCAAAGCCTAGCTAGATGTCCCACGGGTATATTACATTTTCCCCTGCAGTGGCCTTCCACGGTGATACAGTTTCTCAAATACCAAAGCACTCTCCTGGTCCAAGAATGGCGGCTGAGTCGTTTCAATCGCGCCCTGCGTGGTGTAGTTGGGTCCTACCTCATAACACACCCCTGAAATCTTCTCTGCTCCCATCCACTTCTCAAACGTCTCCAGAATCCCCGCCATCGGTGTCATGACGCCTACACTCTCCAGACTATCGTAGAATTCGGAGGTGGACATGTTGGTGCGGACCACATTGGGACAAACTGCATTCATCGTAATTTGTTCCTCCGGGAGATACTTCCCGTAGCTACGGACAAAGCCAGTGACAGCACTATCAAGCCCGTTAGTAAGACACATGCGCGGTGGTTAAAGTAACGGTAAAGACTGTCAAGGGGGGAAGAAGTTACAAAAGTCCTTCAGCAAAGCGGGGAACCTACTGTTTGGCTGCTGTATACACAGGAAGGGTCGGGCAGGAGTAGAGACCACATACGGAGCCAACAATGCCAACTGTGAGACACCAAGCCAATTTCAGTACTCTGCGATCTTTGCATGATCCTGGAACCAGGACTGCGGGGGCTTACTCTTTCCACGAAAGCCATTCACATCGGGCTCTTGCCGGCGGAACTGCTGGACAGCAAGGGCCACCGTGTAGAACAGCCCCGTCGTATCCACATTTAAGACGGCCAGGTCTGGTGCCTTGAAGGCACCGCTTATGTCGTTGGTCAACCAGCGTCGTTCGTTTATGCCGGCAATAGCATAGACGTAGTCGATACGGCCAAACGAACGGACAGCCTGAGTAAAGGCGCTGGCCTGCATCTCCCAGTCAGAGACGTCCACCACGCCAAACTCGGCGACATGTCCGTTTTCGTTCAGCTTGGACACGACCGCCTCAGCGCTTTCCTTGTTTTGATCGGCTATGAAGACCTTGAAGCTGCGGTGGGTTCGTTAGCGTCGTAACAAGACCCTGGGACCAATAGATCATCCATATAATACCCTTTGCTGACCAGCATCTCGGCCGTCGCCTTACCTAGCCCTGAAGCTCCCCCGGTAATGAAAGCGGCAGGCATAATTTCTGTAATGCCGAAGCTAAGTGATGTTCAAAGGATGGATAGCTCAGATGGAAACGTAGAGATTGAAAATTCATCCAGGGAACCTAAGACGTCTATATAATCACGGAATTTACCCAGCACGTCGGTTATGCACCTAGTGCCCATTCTCTCTCTCCATGATTGCCGATGGTTGCTCCATTGGGTTGGAAATACCTCATCCTGACTTTGGGAACCCGCCATTGAAACATAAAGTATGGTTATCGCTCGGCATTTCTCAAAGGGCTCGGCACAAGACATGTTCAGTGAACTTGGGATCCGAGGCGAGTCACGCTAATTGCTATAGATCTTGATCAATGGCCACCTAAAAACGCCGATACGCCCAGACTCCTCCGCTCAGATATTTTCTCCCTGCCGGCCGACGTTCTTTTTTGTTGCCCATCCTGGATTCCAGACTAGAACACTTGAGCATTGACTCCCAAATCTAGTTCCAGGGTTTATCCTCTCGTAAAGTATCGTACATTTAGAGTTCTAGGAAGTCTACATTGAATGTGTCCGGGTCCATGATAAAGCTTTCCAACTGGACTGTAAAATTATATGCCAGATCCAGATCTGGGGCAGCCATAGCCGGGCTATTCACTAATAGAATTCCAATGAGCGGACTTGTTTCGGCCGAAATATAGGGAAAGTAATCACGCCAGCCGACGTTGCCGGCTGGTGAAAGCCCTGGATGGCTGGGAATTAAAGCAGGTGGACTTCCCAGAACTTCCATCTGATCCCCTGAGGGCACAGAGTTTGCATTAAGCAGTTTGTCAATCCCTCTTTCAAATAATCGGGAGGATGGCCATAGTCGGGCCATTTCCTTGATGGCTGCACGAAGGACTCTGATGTCACGATCTGCAGCGTGCGTCAGGCTATCGATCTTGCGTGCGTGGGCTAGTGCAAGGATGGCAATTATGATGTACCATCCTGCCTGGCCAGCCAGAAAACGCAGAGACCCTCTCAGCATATAGTCATAGAAGATTCGACTGGTACACGACGCAGCAACGACGGCCGCCGTAGATGCTTGAGGGATGGATTGGGCGGTCTTGTTTAAGTGCATGAGCGTAATGGTCGAGAGGTATGTCAAATGCATCCCATGGACTGCCGGCTGAATACCCACTGTTCGCCCGCCGCCGATCAACGGTTGCAGATCCAAATGGAGACTTTGAACCCAGTCCACGAGTTCTCTGCCAAACGCATCCGTTGAAAAAACTCTTTCTCGGCTGATACATGTGCCTACCCGACCGACGATATCGCACAGCCTCAGCCAGGAGAGAAATACCGTCGTCCCAACATCGTCAGGGTTGGGAAAATCTTCTTTGGTGGGCATTGGTGTGTTACAATCTTCCAGGTTGATGACGCAGGGTCTGCCCTGGGAGATACAGCTGATCCGTTCACGAGCCTGCACTGATGGTCAACGTTGTGGATCAAAAAGGAGCTGCACAGGGATTTCTGAATATACCACCAGCGTCCACCAAATCCGTCTGCGTAAACCTGGTGTGTCACCCTCGCATAGTGGGTGTCCCGCGTCTGACTGGCGATGAAGGCGCATCTGTTGCGCAAGGCGAATGATTGTCCCGTTCCACCACCATGTGTTGTCAATGCTAACAGTGTTTGGGCTGTCGGCACTGAACCAGTAGAACAGCATGAGTGAGATGATGGTGACCAGTGGGTTCCGCTCATTATTTCCGTAAAAGAGCTCCTTGGCACGTTGATAGTGATCCTCTGAGGAGGCATGCTCAATTAGGGATGGTCGTATCTGGTTGCTGCATAATGCCAATGCGTGTTTCAGGAGCAATGAATGTTTGAACTGTGGACATGACTGATATGTCTCCCGGTCAAGGACTGGGCACCAAGAGCTCGCAAACTCGAAGAAGACGTCGAGATGTGTGTCGGACAAGACAGGGGGTATATTGTCTATCGGCTGCAGTTCTGCAGCGGGAGCAGTCGCCGGCTTGATGGCCTTCCTTGCATCGGGATCGCTACTGAATATCGGCATGTATCCCGAATCGCCCAGATACTCCGGTTGGTAGGAAGAGTTTGACGAGATTGAGGGACATGGCTCGTCGATGTCTGTCGCGTGCCCGGCCGAAGCTCCAGAGACACAGGTGGGCTCCGGTATCTGCGTCGGGTAGGGTGGACTCTCGATTGGGATATCGACGGGGACGCCGGAGAAGTCCAGGGGCAGTGGGGGCTCGACGGACGCATCTAAACCGACTGGGTTCGGCATTTGCAAAGTCTTCTCCATGGGAACGGGGACGGGTAGCTCGAACACGTTCCGCTTTGGCGTCTGCGGCGGTTTTCTGGTGAAACCCCTGCGGGAATGCCGTGGCCTACATCGGCTCCTGTGAGGCTTGATGAACGGCATAGTCTTCGCTTGAACTACGTACCGGCAGAGCACCCCTGAATCGCTACAGTTTGAGCATTGCAGGGCACGTGAAGTGTCATTCAGCTGAAGGTCGCATTTAATCTGCGCTCCCGTTTAGCGATCAACATGCAGTTTCCGTAGGTAGAGACCTCACCTTCTTGTCATGGCACCGGCAACAAACCACCGTCGCACGTTTGGGGCGTTTCCTAGCTGAGAGGGATGTCTGCTGGGTGGCAGAACTGTGAATAGAGAATTTCGAAAGCATTATGGAGCGTTGATGGGCGCGTACTGATCATCGATGGTGCTGGTTCTTCAAAAGGGAAATACCGACGGGGGTCGTCGGCCGAACGCGGGGGGTTGGGGAACATAACCCCAACCCTGGGGGGCTCGAGGCAACCACATACGAACTTAGCTGTCCATCGGATACAGGATCGCCTTCGGATCGTGGGGCTCCGTGGGATGTTGTCCCACGGACTGGGCCAGTCCGTCCACACGATGCAGATCCCCGATTGCCATCGGCCGAAAAATTGCGGGGACTCCACAAAGGTTTTCCCCATGACCCGCCGTACCCCAGGTTTGCTATTCACCTAGACCCGTTTTGTTCGGTTCATGCGCAGCACGTATTAGGATCGCGATCTGTTTGAAGTTAGACTGTCTGGTCTGCCGGAACGCGTAGCTGATGCTTCGAGTCGGCACGGAGGGGGCCGTAGAAATATGATATAAGTGCTCGTCTAGCAGGAGGCAGAGTGTCCCCTAGTGTAGTTCCCTTAAACTGTTACTTCCAGGGCATCTGGCTACACACAAACATGGCCACCGACTGGCTTCTTGCTAACTACATCCGAGGCTGGGTACAAACCGCCTCCCCTACACAGGTCTACTTCGCAATTGTTGGTCTTGCGACGGTGGGGTACCTGGTGGGATATGTCATTTACCAACGATACTTTCACCCATTGGCCAAATTTCCGGGTCCGTTCTGGGCGAGCGTAACCAATTTCTGGAAAGTCTATGAGTTGTCCACGCTGGCCCTCCCGACACGGATGTGCAGGGTGCACGAGAAATATGGGCCAGTAGTCCGTATCGGCCCAGATGATCTATCGTTCAACATCCCCGAGGCCATAGCACCGATTTACAAGGTCGGCAGGAAAATGCCCAAGGGGATCTTTTACAACGGCTATGTTTCCACGGTACCTGATATCTTCTCCACCCGAGATGAAGATGTAAGTAAATACACCCTTCCGTCTGGATCACGGTCGCTTTGCTAAGTTGCATCCCTGCAGCTCCATGCGCTGCGCTTAAAGCAGATAGGCCCAGGCCTGACAGTCTCGGCTTTGAAGCACATGGAGCCCGTCTTTAACACCCATATCGGCAAGCTCATCACCAAGATCAATGGTCATGTGGAAGCAGGTACGGTGCTTGACCTGAAGGAAGCTCTCGCTCTTTACGGCTATGATATTACTGCGCAGCTGGCGTTCGATACCGACTTCAATTCACAGGCTACGGGCGAACTCCCTCCACTGAACAACCACTTCCTGCTGGGCAACATATACGGCCTTCTGGCGAACCTGCTTCCCCACCTCGCCACGTGGTCTGCTCTCTTGCCTTCAGTCAAGAAGCTGCTGGAAAGTCGCAATGATCTCAAAAGAATCGCAGAGGGCTCGGTCCGCAAGAGCCTCGAGAGTCACAACAACGAGACGGAGCCGGGCACCTTGCTTGCGGCACTGATCAATGCGAAGGATCCTGACTCAGGGAAGAAATTGACGGAAGACGAAATAAACTCGGAAGCCTTTGTTTTCCTGTAGGAAACCCCCCCCTTGTGTGACCACTCTCTAGCATGGGATGAAAGCTAACATCACCATGCTCTATGGTGCAGTGTTGCGGGCTCGCATACGACCTCAAGCGCTATGGTTGCTCTTCTGTTCTACATGCATCAAAACCCGACGGTAATCAAGCGCGTCCGCGAGGAGCTGGACGCCGCTCTCCCCGGTCAGCAGAGTGCGCCTTATGACTTTACCGGTCTGGATTCCAAGCTACCATACATATTGGCCTGTATTCGGGAAAGTTTTCGCATGTCGCCAACCGCCGCGCTCTTGTTACCCCACGAGGTCATTAACCCGGCCGGAGCGAATATCGGAGACTATCACGTCCCCAAGGGGGTAAGTCGAGAATATTGGTATTCAAAACAAGCAAACGCAACGCTGACCAATCTATCTAGGCAAATTGCTCCATACTGAGCACCTGCCTGCACCACAACCCGGATGTCTGGGGGCATGATCACGACGAGTTCAATCCTGATCGCTTCATGCCTGGTAGCCCTTCGTATAAACAGGAGTACCTGGGTATGCTCTTCCATTTTGGCCAGGGCAACCGCCAATGTGCGGGCCGCAACATTGCGTTGATGTCCATCTGGAAGGTGGTCGTCACCTTGCTCAAGAATTACGAGTTCGAACTCCTCGATCCGAAGGAGAAATTTGTCATGCTTGAGACTGGGGTCGGCGATAAGAAGGGTCCTATGAATATGCGTGTCAAACGCCGCGTCGCTGTGTAAGGTCCACCGGTGCTCCTGTCGTGACTCTTCACTGTTCATATATTATTCTCTGTTTATTGCTATTTGTTTCAAAATTCAAATCCCTGTTCGTACCACCACAGTGCATTCGTAGCCCGCCAACCTCCTACTAGTCTTATATCGAATGCGGTAAATGTAGATAGTGCTCGACTTCACCAATGTTCGATTGACTTGGGTTCTGTTGACATGGTATGGAGCTATGGACGGGAAAGCTATCCACCCCAAGTCGTAGGAGCTTTGGGCCATCTGGCGGCGTTGATATTTGTAATTATCTGGACTTTAGCGAACTGGGCTTGTATATAGGTATTCTGATTTGTATTTCCTTTGACCCTTCTTACATATGATAAATATATACAGTTCTCTCTGACAAATAAACAGATTGGTTATGTGTGTGTGTGTGTGTGTGTGTGTGCCCGGACCTCATTAGGTTACATTCAATAAGTGATTCGTCCCTCACTCCACATCGACCCGACCGACATGCAAACCCCCAGAGACCTGAATGTCCGTTCCCGTAGTGTAGGAGGATGCCTCACTTAGCAGATACACAATGGCAGGGGTGAGGTCGTTGCGATTGCCAATTCGTCGCAGTGGAGGCGCCCGCTCCATCAGCTCCACTCTCTGGGGCTGCTCCTTTTTGAAGGGGGTCAGAAGTTCCGTGTCGGTGTATCCTGGTGACACGCAATTGACGCGGATCTTATCTGGACCCAGTTCTAAACTGATAGCCTGACCGAGCATGCGTACGGCGGCTTTAGACGCATTGTACGGGGACAGCTTATGGCCGGGAGTCTTCGTAGTCGCCGAGACTGAAGCGATTAGGACAATGCTACCTCCATCACCCTGTCGTTGCATTTGTCGTGCCGCAAGTTGGGCGGTGAAAAAGGTGCCCAAGATCTGCAGATGAGCTGTGTGAGAAGGAGAATCATGGAATGAAATGGTGTTGGGATCTCACATTTACGTCCATGAGACGCTTTACTGGCTGCCACTCACAGTCCACAAACGGACCCTCGATCACTAGGCCGGCAGCCGTTACACTACAAACGCACCGTTAGGTCATCGAACAGCCGTGCTCTCCATAGATGGTCGTAATACGTACCAGCCATCGAGTCGGTCGAAATGAGTCATAGTCTGTTTGAATGCGTCCTCCATCTCCCGCGGGTCGGTCACATCGGTCTGAATATAGCTGGTCTTCACCTTGAATTCCTCCGCCAACGACTGAAAATCTGCAACTGGTTTGGGCGCCCTGTCCCATACACAGACATTGCCTCCCATTTCTGCAATCGCGCGGACGGCAGAATACCCAATGCCTCGAGCACCACCTGTGACGAGTACGTTCTTCCCCGAAAGATCGAACCGGCCCTTGATCGAGTATAGATCTCCATCATACCGCTTCTCCTGGTCCGCAAATCCCCGGGTGACTTGACGCACAGGACTGCGTGACCAGACTCCAGGGGCGTGAATCCGCCGCCTGGTAAGGAGCATGGAGTTTCTAGTCAAGCTCATTATTTCGGGAACGTGTGTGTGTGTATGTGGCTAGCTTCGACCTGATCAGTCGCAATGTAATTTCTTTTTTATAGATGGGCAGCCTAGAGGGAGAGACCTTACAGCCAGGAGCACTAAGTCAAACGTGGCATTATATAAACCATCTCGTGTACCGTTAAGCGGTGGTATGGAAGCAGTAAGCCGAGGGATGCCGACTAACTTCGGCAAGCCTGCCGTGACGGTCGGCTACCATTCTGGGTCCCTAATGCCGGGTACCACAAGGCGTCGGAAACCTTGAGAGCCCTAGTTTCTTGATCCCTAAGCACCAGTCCAACCTCATTCGACTACAAAAAGAGGTTCTCCTCTCTGATCATGGATGATTGTTGAATTCGTGTGCCTCCCCTCGAAAGTGGAATCAACCAGATACAATCTCCTTCAATCAGAATCGACAGCATGCCGACCGAGCACGCCGACCGAGCGGCGATCGAGCGAGCCCAGGACGTCCTGTACGACGAAGGCACGAAGCTACGGCAAGAGGTGTTTGGACCCCAGTACATCAGCCAGTCAAAGAGCCTTCCCGATTTTTTACAACCAGTGCAAACGATGGCGGTCACTGCAGGCTGGTCACTGTGCTGGTCGAGGCCTGGTCTGGACCGCAAAACACGATCGATGCTCTGCTTGGCCATGTTGGCTGTAATGGGACATGAAAAAGAGTTGGCTGTTCATGTCCGAGGCGCTATCTCTAACGGGTGTAGTCCAGAGGAGATCCGAGAAGTTTTACTTCAGGCAAGTTCACCTCCTCCTGCCTTTGTGTCTAACTACTGACCGGATGCTGTTCATGCAGACTGCAGTCTATGGTGGTGTGCCCTGCGCGGCGAGAGCGACTCGGGTCGCGTGGGATGCGCTGCAGGAGGTGGATGACGGCGATGCTTTATAAAAACAGATACAGGAATAAAATACTTTTGTCAATGTACTGGCGGTAGAATTCTTACATTGCCCGCTAAGACTAGCCTAGTGTCTCCTACTGTAGCTATGTCCCTAATCGAGCCATCGGCAATACATCAGACCCTTTGCACCGATACCTAATTCATGCCGCCATACGTCAAAGCACTTGCCACTTCCTGCAATTTATGAAGAGCAGACCCTTCGTCAAAGTCGTCCCGGTTTAAATCCATGTAACCAGACGAGGAGATCTGGCGCGGTACGATGGCCAATGTTCGCCCTATGCACACAAAACAATCAGATTTGTTCCGTTAGATGGGAGACGGTCCTATTTTACCATTGATAGACTCATCTGTGATCAGCTTGAAAACAGCCGTTACTGCATCGTCGGTAAGGGCAAAGTCGACGCCCTGGGCCTCAAACTGGCGACGCGTTGACTCAACAAACGCTTCCCGGAGGATCGGGGTTGCAATAAACCTGGCCGAGCTGGTAAGAGACTATGTTTCACAGGGCAGTGGCGGAACAAGCAGGGTAAAAAAGGAGATAGGACAAGAAGCAAATGCGGAAAATGGAGGCTAAGTTACCATGGTGCAAGACAATTGACCCGGATCGTCTTTTTGCGTCGAAGGCAAGTCATCAGGCCACGGACCCCATGCTTCGCTGCCGAGTAGACCGACGAACCCTGAGTATCGATATAGCCCATGATGCTACTTACCAGGATGACGCATGGGTCGATGGAGTTTTGCCGATCGAAGTGCCACGCAGCAAGCCGAGTAGTGTACATCACTCCTATTAAGTTTACGTTCAGCATTGAAGTGTTGGGCTTCGTGGGTTGTTCCTCCGATAATCCTGAAGTCGCCAGTTAGCATCAAGGTTTCAGGGATGCTCCAGTAACTGGAGGCAACTATAAGAGGACGTGACACGGCACCTTCAAGTATGTCAGGCCCGTAGATTCCGGCATTGGCAATAACGGCGTCGATTCTTCCATTTGGCGCCTTTTCCTTGGCAACTCGAAACAAATTGACCTGGTCATCCCAGCTCGAGACATCACATTTTACAAACACCGTCCTAAGCTTTATGTTGGCATTCCGCGTTCCAGCCTCTTGTGAGAGCGGGAGATATCCCAGGAATGGCGCACCTGTCAGACATTGCAGTCTGTGATGGCGGATTTAAATCACCGTTTACAACAAAAGCCCTATGTGTCCATCAGTCAGGGCACTGTGTAATAGAAAACCTTTCACAAATCACACACCCTGCACGGGTTAAAGCCTCCACGTAGGCGAGACCCAGGCCACTGCTTCCTGTAGGGTCGAATTAGTGATGATCACAGCAATCAGTGGATGTATGTCCTACCCCCAGTCAAGACAACAGTCTTGCCCCCTGCCTTGGACGGGACAACTGGCTGCAGGCAGTCAACTGGTTGATTGGTATATGGAGAAACCATCGTAATACTTGTTATTCGCAGGTGCTGGGGAAGTCACGAAAGTGGAATTCTGAGTTGTGTATTGCAACATTACTACACTTCCCCAATCGGATATTTGTAACCTGAAGGGCCACCGCAGAGACTATGAAAGACCCCTCACACGAAGCGGCCTGGGAATATCGGCGATAACTCGATTGGATCGCAATTCAGTCCGGTTAGTAGTGCCTCTTGCCGACTTTCCCTTTTCAGTCGGCAATTTGTATTCCCAGTGTGTACCCGCGGTCCTGATCAATGAACTTCTGGATCGATATAGCATCATTGTCCACCTTTCTGGGGCTAACCTACGCTTATGCTGTATCGCCACACTACAGTCTCCGATCGGCTACGTTCGAGTATAGAAGCTCCATCATCATTCTCAGTGCCTATAGAGTGCTGGGCTCGCTACTGTAATATTACGTGGCTGCGGGCCCTCATCAATGGTGTCATCATCCTCTGGGACCTAAGTAGATTCGTTTTGGTCTAAAATATCGGACGCGAAACACATTTCATAGACTCAACCCGTCCATATTAATGACCCTTAGTTCGACCTGTATCACCCACCATGCCAAGACATATCCTTCCTATGTTTGCACTGATGTAAAGGAAGAGGTTTCATCTGCAGACAGAATCCATGAGAAGCTCTCCACCAGTTCTTGGTCCCAGATACTGCTGGCTGAGAGACGAGCAAAGCGACGAAAGCCATGCGGCAGGCCGGGGAAGATATGTACCTTTGTTGGAACCCTACATCAGATCCATTAGCTTCGTAATGATCGTTACAGAACAATGGAGTACTTGCCCATTCCTCTTTAATTTTTCCGAGTAAAGCAGCGCCTCATCCCTCAGCGGGTCCTGGCCAGCAATCAGAATGCTTGTCTTGGGCAATCCCACGACCTCGTCATCTCCCGCCAGCGCAGTGTTCAGGGCCGGGTCTGTGGGGTCCTCGGCGCCGAGTAGATCGGTAAATAGCCGCAGCATACTGTTTGGTAGCATGGGGGCGTCGATGTTCTGTTGAACGGACGATGTCGGCACACTTGCAAACGGATGGTTGTCTGGGTGTATCAGCCAGGGGATACAGAGAATCTGCCCGCGGACCTGGAGACCGAGTCGACGAGGTGTGCTTTGAGCAAGATGATGCTGGCGAAGCGTTACATAGGCTGCCAGCCCGCCCCCGGCTGAAACTCCACCGATTATGACCCGGCTCGGGTTGCCGCCAATGCGAGTAACATTAGCGTCCAGCCATTCAAACGCATCCCAGGCATCATTTACCTGTGTAGGATGCTTGAACTCAGGGGTGTGGCGGTAGTTGATGCTAACTACGATGATTCGGGCCTGGCAGGCTAGCCTTATACAGCCAGCATCTTCCGTCTCGATGCTGCCGGTGAGATACCCACCTCCATGGAAGTACAGGTATACTGGCGGTGCCAACCCCGTAACAGACTCTCTTGGGCGATAAACACGAGCGACTATGTCCTGCCCGTCTCGTGTCGGGATCGAAAAGTCTCTCCAGTCGACTTTATACACGAGTCCTATGGGTAACAGTTACAGGCGGATCATTTCAACGTGTGGACGTTTTCGCACAAGGAGACGAACCATTGTTGCCAAGCTCCTTATCAGATATTTGAACACGCAGCTCATTCGTAAGCTGCCGAATTGTAGTTGCTGGAATGGTGGTATCCACCCGAGGGGGGGGATCCTCGTTCATAAATTGCTCCCATTCCTGGGAAGGGCCCTGGTATTGTGAAAAGTCTTTTCTCGTTGACATTATGCTTGCTTTCTGAAGTCATGGTTGCTTGAAAAATGGGGTGGTGTTGGGCGTTCATAAGGGCCAGCACCGGCTAGGGCATGCTTGTCACATTGAGAGCTCCACGGCCTCCCTGATCCGGAAAAACAGGGCAATGCCGAATAGCCGAACGGCTGCCATTCCACAGTATGCCTCCTCTTCCCATGCCCTTATAAATGCACGTCGATAAACGGCCCATCCACGCCTGTGCGATAGCCAAGTAAGCAGAGGTAGTCTTGCCCCTATCGGTCACTCACTACGACCAACCACCCTAAGAATGGATCACTTCCCGGTATATGAAGACCTTCCCACGGTCACGTTCAACGGCCAACTCAAGCGCTGCGCCTGGGGTATCTTCGACAAGAATGGAACACGCGATGTATACGGTTGTCTGAATAAGGTCACAACAGATGTCGTGGTAAAAGCCGCCGCGGAGGTGAAAGATGGCGTTACCATATCCCTCAAGTGAGAACGAAGCATGATTTCCCTTTCTCGGGGGGAGTGCAATCACTTACGGTCAATATCTAGCTGTCCGCTTAGATTGCTCCGTACTCCTGCCTTTGGGAGAAGGCAGCTCACTCACAAGGTTATATCTTTTGTTGATTCCCCTCTACAGATACATGGGTTTGATGACGAGGTAAGTCTCATCTGCTTACGACAGCTCCACATGTAAAATGGCATTGACGCCGACATGGCATCGTAGCTCGAATTTAACACCCAATGTAGCTCTCAGTGGGATGCGCTATGTACGTACCACTCGACAATCCTCAATCACAGTACTAGAAAAGGGTTAACTTTGGATCCCAGGTCATTTCTACGATCAAGATATTAAGCGGGGCTACAATAATGCGAATCCAACAATTGAAGATCTCAGCGCTGATCATAACGATGCAACGCGCACATCCATTCCCACCTTAGAACGTATGTGACCCACTCCGAGCTTTTCATGCCGAGCGTGCTTGAAATGTATCTAGTTCCCTGGTTCCCAACTGATCCTTCCTCGATGTAGACTGGCATACCTTTGGGGGTCTTGCCACCAGAGGCGTGCTCATCGATTATAAGGCCTACGCGGACAGAAACGGTATTGAGTACTCCCCCGTGTCGCCTCACAAGATCACAATATCAGAAATAGAGAAGATTGCCACAGAACAAGGCGTCATCTTTCAGCCAGGCGACGTGTTCCTGCTACGGACTGGCTACACGGAAGCCATTCAAGCAGCAACCGAGGACGAACAGGCTCAGATGATTGATTCCCCCGATAATGCTGGAGTGGAAGGGACTCTGGATGCTGTTCGGTGGTTCTGGAATCATCATTTCTGCGCGGTTGCTGGTGATAACCTTGGCTTTGAAGTTATGAGGCCTTCTAAGAACGGTATAGATGCCACTGGCTCAACTGCGGATTACGGTACTTGCTTCTACCCCTTACACTGCATATCAACAATGGCTATATTGTGAGGATATGATCGCTAACGTGATACAAACTGGCACATATAGTCTTGCATCCCCACTTTTTATCATTGTTAGGTCTTCACATTGGCGAGCTTTGGGACTTAAAGTCCTTATCTGAGTATTGTCATCGGAAAGGCCGCTTTACCTTCATGCTAACCTCCATGCCGCTGAACTTTGCTGGGGCTTGTGGCTCTCCTCCCAATGCAATGGCCTTGTTCTAAGGCCCCGTTGGATGGTGCAAAAACATGTATAGTAAGCTTTGTATGCAACTTTTTGCTTCGAACCAAGTAGTAAGGGCTAGCTTGTCCTATTCATGTGCCCAAGCAAGCTAGACCAATTTATAGCCGCAGATCACCGCAGTGGCCATGATACATATAACATACATACATTCTTACAAATCCCGATAATTGGTTCATACAGTTCGGTCGCAATATCAGACCACATGTCCAAGTTCAAGACCTCTAACGAGCTCCTAACAGCTACACTGTATGGTTTCAATCGTCAACTATCAAGGTTGCTAACTGTCGCTGGTTGTTGAATGGGGGCTACCGATAGTTGGGACAAAAAGTCGACTGTTAGATCGGCCGATGTTTTTTACTGCTGCAGATATGACATCACACATCAGACCTTGCCGGGTATTCTCCAGACACAGCCCCTAAAGACGCCCAATATCACATCCATGGCTAGAACGTTCTCACTCAGTGTACTTCTGTGCCAAGCTTACCATCACGCGGCTAAATTAGCGCCAGTTCCAGCATCACTGGCACTGGTTCAAGTAGATTAAGATGCTACCCATGTTACTTTCAGCGACCGCTACATATGGCACCTAGATCACTATCATATGCGCTAAGTCATTGTATATATCATTGTCATTGCACTGTGAAAATAGCACTATATAACACTGCAAGGCCACTAGGCGAGATGTTGCTTCATGAATTCAGCAACATTCTGAGCAGCCGGCCCGACATAAGCCTCGTTATCGTAAAAGTCCATGTGCGCTCCGTTTGGAACGATGACCTTCTTCGCTGCACCCCCAATCAGCTTATCCAATCGCTCCGTATGCCAAAGAGATCCCGCCTTGTCACCGGCGATGAGCAGGGCGGGCTGCTTCAGGAACACATCTGCCAGGTGGAAGGCGTCGAAAGTAAGCACCCGCGGGAAGCTGAGGTACAGCATTTTATTCTGGGCGCGGGGATGTTGGGCACGCGGGGTCAGGTAATAGTCGCTAGCCTCTCGCATGTCCCTCGGGGTCGTGTTGTCAGGCTGTGGGGGCACGTAGGGTGCGGCGGCGCGCTCGGCACCTTTGGCCTCGGCAGTCACCTGGGCTGCAGTGGCACGAAGCGCCTCGACATGCTTCGACGGGTCCTCGTCTCCATCCCAACCCTTACGAGCGGAGTCTCCGATGTTGACCATGCTAACCGTGGCCAAGGCCTTCAACCGATGGTCTGCCTTGGCCGCTGCGGCTGCATAACCACCCCCAGCACAAATACCCAAGACACCAATCTTCTCGGAGTCGACACTGTCGAGATTCTGGAGGTAGTCGATCACGGCGTAGATATCGCTCACTCGCTCGTTCGGGTCTTCGAGGAAGCGGGGTTCTCCACCACTCGCGCCCTGGTAGGACGCATCATAGGCGATAGTTGTGAAACCGGCGTTTGCCAGCTTCTTGGCGTATGTTTGGGCGGTCTGTTCCTTGACACCGCCACCAGGATGCACAACTATCAGGGCGGATGTCTTGGATGCAGTCGGAGTAGAGGGCTTGAAGAGAAGGCCAGCCAGGTTGATGGGGCCTTTGGGAATGCTGATTGCAGACATTGTGGGTGTTGTTGAATATCCAAAAACGAAATAGTTGTAGAGATGTAGAAGTAATAGAAGTGATTATTGATGCGATGGGTAGAAGCAGGACGATATTTATAACCGAAACCTGAGGGTAACCAACCCGTTAAGCTTTTCGATATTGAAATGATCATCGGCCGAAGAGCGATTAACTCAAACGATGACGTAGGTGAGCTGACATATCTGCTGGGCCAACTAAGGTTATTGAACTCTACACTGCTAGAGTACCATTAAAGCAGAACATCGCTCGTGTTTCGGCCGACCTGTTGTCCGATATATCGGTGATAAGATAGGGTGGATTCATGTTTTCGGCCGAAGCGACAGCGATAGCCGATGATCTGCCAAACCCTAATCTCGACGTCACCAATAAAGTCATACAAGTAGAGCCAACTCTCGTCCCCCTCTCCTTTCCCATCCACATCGCTTCCATAGTTTCAAAGATAGTGACACACAAAAGCCAACACCCCTATCAAAGCAATCACTACAATGTCTCAAACAATTAAGACAGTTAGCATCCCAAATATCGCTTGGGAGACCGCCGCCAACATCCACTTCCCGCCTGCCTTCAACGAGAAAAAGAAGTACCCCGCCGTTGTATCAGCACATCCGATCGGTTCCTGCAAGGAGCAAACCTCTGGCAATGTTTACGGCAAAGCAATGGCCGATGCCGGCTTCGTGGTTGTTGCCTTTGATGCATCTTTCCAGGGTGCCTCCGGTGGCCAGCCTCGCTTTACAGAGAATCCTGAGTTTCGTGTTTCCGACTTCCGCTTTGTGATCGACTATATCCAGACACTTCCGTATGTGGACCCGAAGCGTATTGGTGTTCTTGGAATCTGCGGTGGTGGCGGCTACGCGATCAATGCAGCCATGACAGATTACCGCCTGAAGTGCTGTGTTGGCATTACACCAGTCAATTTCGGCCGCCTTACCCGCGAGGCCTTTGGTGAATTCAACCCTGCTGGCTCTCTGCAGAAGATGGCCGATCAACGAACTCTTGAGGCCCAAGGTGGCGAGCGCTTTGTGTTGAACTACCTCCCCCCTTCGGTCGCTGATGCTCAGAAGGCGACGACTGATATTGATGTTATCGAGGCTACCGATTACTACAAGACTTCTCGTGGCCAGGCCCCCAATGGTGCCACGAGCGGCTTGTTCTCATTCAACAGTGCCGCTCTTGCATGGGATGCCTTCAACCATGCAGAAGTCCTCTTGACCCGACCCTTCATGGTGGTTATCGGAGACAAACCCGGTGGCTTCGGCGCCTACCGCGACGCTCAGGAGGTTTACGGCCGCGCTGGCGCGAAGGAAAAGCAGATTGTTGTTCTTCCTGGTATCTCGCACTATAACCTTTATGATAAACCTGAGGCTGTTCAGCCCGCACTTGAACAAGTGCTTCCATTCCTCAAGAAGCATCTTGGCGAAGCTGAATAAATACAATGATACAATAGAAATTTAATTTTGTTTTAAGTCTCCCCATTTACATTCCTACTGCGCTTGAAATCAAAGTCCTTGTGTTTCATTGCTTTGAAATGTTGTCCAAATTTGCAATGAAATAGTGGGATTTCTGTAGGATAGTGTAAGGTAGTTCCTCTTTGATCATGCGTTATTCTGTCTCCGAATGTCCGTCTATATATCCTACATATCTATCGCTCAATACGCACCGGAATCCTGTGGGCTAACTAGGCTGATCATTATGTTCGTTTCTGCAACCGCTTTTCACGGCATGGCCAAGGCGAATTCTCAATACCAGTCCATAGCCATGAAACATGAACCTTCATATGGTAGGTTCGGAAATCAATTTATCTTATATCCATCACTGTGACTCCCCCGATATGGGCCATATGCCAGTCTGTCATATGGCCATCGTCACCGGAGTACTGAACAGATGTCCACCGTTATAAGGAAGAGTAAATAGAGCCTAAGCGTGGTTTCCATATTTTAGGTCTCAGAAACACTCAGTACAGATCGTTTTGTTGAATACAGGATGATTTTTAACACAGTGGTAAGTTGATGGACCAAGAGAAGAGTTAAAACCAGAAACAAAAATAAATGAACAGAGTAAAAGGTACGCCAACACCGTACGTATATAACCGAATACTATTGACTCAAATTCTTATAACAACCTTCCCTGTTTGCTGGCCCGAGTAGACATAATCGAAAGCTGCAGGAGCATCCTTGAATTCAAATGTTTTGCCAATGATTTGCTTCAGTGAGATCTGCTTTTCTTCAAGAAACCGACAGAGGCCCTCTTGGTCAGCTTTTGAGCCGACTTGAATTGCCCTGGAGAAAGACTGTTAGTAGCGGCCCTAGTTATCACTCGGGCAAAGGTGGTCGTAGGGAACAGGGTAGGGACATACTTGAGTGTTCCCACTTTCAAGAATAGACTTCCCAGCGCATCAACAAACTTATCTAGCTCCAGTCCACCTAGAAACCCGATCCAAGATATAAGACCACGGGTAGCCACGGATTTAACACTTTTCTCGATGCTGCTACCTCCTACAGTTTCGAGCACAATATCGACGCCTTGCCCTTTGGTCAAGCGCAGGACTTCCTTTTCCCAGTCAGGCGTGGTGTTATAGTTGATAACGTCAACAGTCCCTTCCTTGCCCAGGGCTGCTGCAGTCTGAAGCTTTTTGTCCGAGGAGGAGGTGATAATTGGATGGATACCAGCACCCAAGCAGATCAATAGTGCAAACATGCTCACACCCCCTGTGCCTATATTGCGACCACCGACGTATTAGGCTTTTCGTTGTCAGACCCCGAGGATGGAGGGTATACATTACCTAGCATCAAGCAGATCGTCTCCGGTCCAGGGGTCCTGTCATACCCAAAGCATTCCAAGCCGTGGTCCCAGCGCAAGTTATACACGCCGCCTGACGAAAGTGTTAGCCCATCCTAGAAGATCAACAGCGTAACATGAAACTCTCAGCTGTACCTCTTCCCAGGAAAGATGCTGTGGGATGCGAACGAGCACTTTCTCGTCGAACACTGCATACTGTCGTAGCACGCCGTCGACATTACCGCCAAGCTGGGCAACCGCATCCTCGGGATCTGGCTCATCGATAAACTTCAAGTCGAAGATCGGGGACACACGGTCTCCAACAGAGACCTTTGTGACCGCAGACCCAATTGCCACCACCTCTCCAGCGCAGTCAGACGCGGGAATGCCTTCCTCCTTCACGGACACTGGGTACTTGCCATGAAGCATCCCTACATCTCTGTAGTTCAAGGACACAGCATGCACTCGCATGAGAACTTCCTGTGAATGGAGTGGCGGAACCTGTTCGACTGTTGCGCGGATGGTTCCAGCCTCCTTTCCTGGGGAACGTCGAAAGGCCTGGTAGCTCTTAGGCACAGACATTATGAAAATATCATGTAACAATATCAATTACGTTCATATGTTGTCTTTGGTATGACCCGGGGTCGTATGCAATGAGAACTTCGCTCATTGGGGATCCCAGCCCTATATAATCCGTATGTTGCGTACACCAAGATTTTTAACACTAGAGTAGTCGAAGAGCCGTATTCGTCATGATCACTTCATCGACGATTAACTTTACTAAATGAATGGCGTGGAATTATGAAGAACATCTCTTCGGCCGACGGGAAACCGGGTAGTTGCCGGCCCGACTGCATGCGTCAATGTATGGATAATTCCAGCACAACTACAACGTGGGGCGATATGTTCACCAACGATTGCAGCCTTTCATTCCATTGGAAAAACTTTCACTCACACTTATCTGCCCACCTTGACAACCGCCGACCCGTCCCTGATACTCCGCAAAAGCCACAGTTAAACTGCCGTGCTGACCATGTAAACTCCGTCAACTCCGTCTTGACTGATATCTCCGAAGAAGGGATGGGCAACCCAATATTTCGTTTGCGAAAGATATATAATGTTGTTCCCACGTTTGATTAAACTGATTAATGCGCCTGGCTACTTATAGAGCCTGCACAAGACAAAACCTTCTCCTACATTATAATCATGGACTCGCAGCCTGTTTGGTTCAGTAAGTCAATATCTGATACATCGAAGGATACCAATTAGCTAACCGCATAATCTACAAATAGTCACCGGCTGCTCATCTGGGGTTGGAAAAGCACTGGTCCAGACTGCCGTGCAAGCCGGCCATCACGT